CTGAATTTTGTTGGCGCTTTACAACATGTTTCTTTTTTTCAAAAGCGTCTTCAAATATAGTACCAGTCTAAGAGTTTCAAATTGGCGGGTCCAGCTAACTAAGGCTTTTCCTCAAACATGTTAAAATTTTAGTCTTACTCTGAACTAAACAAATTTTCTTTTTACTATATGCAAAGAAACGTTTAAAAAGACAATTCAGTTCAATTCAGTTATTCTTTTATTCATTGAAAACACAATTTCATATGAATATAAACAGCTAACAAAACAACAAAAACTTCATCAAACATAGGTAATAAACAATTACAAGATTGACACAATTTTAACACTTATAATAATGAATAATACTATATGCAATTTTTGTTATACCATTATAAAAAAAGAAATGACAAAAATAAAGAATGACAATTGACCAAAAAGATCTCATTTAACAACTAATAGGATTTTCTTATAAAGTAAAGCTAATTTTGTATATTTAACATGATCTTTACTGTTTATTAGTTCATTCAATTTATAGGCATTTGAGTGACAATATTTATATTTCCTCAACATTTTTGTTCTAATTTCTTTAAAAGTATCACATTCAAGTAAATAATGAAATTCATCACCAATTATATTTTTATTACGATGAGTACAGGTTTTAATATTCTTTCAGTGCCAGAATGGCAGCCATTTTCTATAGGGAGATGGTGATTTGTAGTTCAAAATTTGAAAAGATATTTTATAAGATCAACAGGTAGTTCGTCTAAATATTTTTCAAACTTGCATTCCTTTTTAAACATACGATAAACTAAACATTTAGGAGATGTACATTGTATTCACTGTGTTGTAACATTCATACAAAAACAAATCATTTAATTTGGTTTTAACAACATTTTTGAACTTTAACAAATTACTAACATTCTGATATATAAAATACTCAGACAGTCCCAAATTATCAAGAGTGTTCTTGACAAAGTTTATCCATGGAAACTTACATATATTGTTAGAATGTAATGCTAGAGCAGTATTGTAAACTATTTTACATATTTTGTCAATTCTAAATGACAAAAGTTTTGACAAGTAGCACTCTTGAGTGCATTTGTATAGAAATAGGCTTTATCCCTAATTCACCATAAATCATACAGTTCGGTGTAGGTTGTTTAAGACCAAGAATTATTCAATTTTATTCATAACTATTATTTGTTATCATTCAAAATCATTCGAACATTATGCAATTCGAACCAATATTTAAATGGCCATATTCTCGGCACATATTGTTTTGAATTAATTCTTATTTTACCAATCATTTCAATTTCACTTGTTATCCATTTTATTTCGCCTCGACCAGATGTTTCAATCTTTGTTGCAACAGACAAACATTTCAGAATTTAATACACATACCAAGAACATGGAGAAAAAATAATTAGTGCTTCGGACTTTCAGCTGTAATAGAGAACGATTTTTGATTCTGATTTTGTACATTAGTTGTGACTGTTCACATCATTTGGCGACGTCTTTGATGTGCAGCACCAACATTTAACTTGTTATTATTTATTACGACTGTGTCATTCTGACTGTGCACCGTTTCTCATGTGTCGATGTTTTTCTTTTCTTCTGTCACTGCAATTGTCCAAGATATATATAGTCGCTGTGTTCATAAAAAGGCATTGAAAATCCCAAATTTAAAATTCTGACTTTTCCCTCGGGACTAGGATTTATATGAAATTAGGTGCTACCTATGGCGCGGAAAGCTCTAAAGAATTATGATTTTAGCATAACATGTTTTAGTGTACATGTAAACCAGATCTTTCTTGCAGGTATTTTGTACCGTAAACAAAACGAATAAATTGGTGGTGTTTAACCTATCATCGGAGCGCTCGGTATATTCCGAAAATCTCCGAATGTAAAGGGGGACCACTGCGCATGCACGGCGTTGGGAAAATCCCGTCCGCCATTTTTTTAATCTCTAATCACAGTCGTTGTTTTAACGTTATTTTTTAATGTGCATATTAATAAAAAAGGATATGTTGAAGTAGTTTTTATTTGTTCGGGTCGTCAGACCAAACAAAAAATGGTAGCGAAATTTCAGAGCCTAATGCTGTTAATTGCAAATGCCTAAAGTAGTCCACTTTTTTGAAGCGGTTACTTCCCTCAATAAGTACACTAACGCCGAAAAATTTAGGGGAGATCAATGCGTAAAGATTGTCAAATGACAGGCCCATTAATTTTCAAGCAAAGTAGTGCCCGAATGGTCGAATATTTCTAATATTGTTTCATTCTCTATAGATATACATGCTTACAGTAAGCTCCATGAGTATTAACATCTGTGTTTAGCGTCGAAATAATAAGAGTTAATAACCCAAATTTAGAATAATATGGTTTTCTTCAGATCGTTAACTTATAATTTCACCGTGGCCGAGGGGTTTGCACGCTCGCTTATGAATCGAAAGGTCACGAGTTCAAATCCCCGTTGAGGCACCTCATTTTTTTTTAATTTTAAGTCAAATAAACATTGAATTGACTATCAGTGTTGCAATTAGTCTTAGCCAATTTACTACAAGAAAAGCATTGATGCAAAGCATCAAAGGGCGTCCAAGCAAGAAATGCAGCAAGTGAAGATGAACTACTAGACATATGATGACAAGATATTCTTATAAACTTACAGAAATGTATATCACTTATGAATGAGCGGACGAAAGACATTGTTCATTATGAACTTTGATTGGCATGCTAGAGATTAGAATCTTACTTGTTATTTCTTTATGATAAGGTATCTGTTCACACTTATATTACCATGTTGATCATGTTGAGCATAATTGTTTATTATACAATAATTGTAATATCTATTAATTTGAATAAAAAATACAATTTTTATGAATATTGTCTTCTTTTCTTTTTTGTGTTTAATGTGCTACTTTAATACTGAGCTTTTACTACTTTTTTAATTAAAATTGTAAAATAAATTTTAAGAATTCAATTGACATATTGCCCCGACGATTATAAGTCAAAACTTAACAGGAAAAAGTCAGTAAATTATGGTTTATCTTTCAATATATAATATTGTAAATTCATAAACCATGTACATGTACATTTGTATTTTCTTTATCATTTTTTAAATGATCAATCAATTTAATAATTCATAAAATCTAATTTGTAACTTTAAATAATTCCTCGGCATCTTTACTATACACGGATAACAAAGGATTTAATTCATGTTTCAAAGTTGATAATGTCATATTTATACCATAAAAATGTACCTTTTTCTCAATTATTGTACATATTTATTGTTTTTATCTCATATAGATAAAATGAAACATGCTCTTGTTGTTGTTGTTTTTTTTAATTGTAACGATATCAAACATCTACTCCAAAACCGGGAGAGACCGGACAATAAACGTGTGTTACTATTCGCCGGTCGTCAAAATAGACCGAAACAGACCAGGAATTACCGATAGGAGTGATAAATAGTTATATCTATAAATAGATCTTCGGAATATTTAGGTCATCAACTGATCATTCTAGGATACATGTACAACATTAACATACCATGATAACCGATTGTGTACTACAAAATGATAAATAAAAAACACGAAGAGCGCGATTTATTGACGGAAAAAGGTTATTATTTCATTTGAAAATGTTTGCATTGCGAAATTCTCCAGTTCGCTATTCATTGTAACATATCGCGACATTTCATTCTTAATTAATAATCAAGCACCCTCATACCGATCGGAATGATCGGCTTTTATTATGACCAACTAAAAGGCTCGAGAAGTTGCTGTCGCCCTTTCACAAAATCTGATTTCTTTCCATAAGGGCGATCTCGTGTCATTGGCAGTTGAACTTATCAAATTCGTGCTTTAGTTTAAACAAGTTTTATTGCATTAAATACATGTATACAAATAATGAGTATATATCGAAATACAAATGCGTATGAGAAAGTCAAAACAACAGAAGAATTTCGATTTTAACTGGCTCGAAATTAACTCCAGCTCGATATTCGGGATTTTAGAATTTTAAATTTCGATCTTGGAGCTTGCTCGAAATTCATCTTCAGCTCGAAATTCAGCTTTTGAAAATTTTGAATATCGATCTTCTAGCTGGCTCGAAATTGCACTTCAGCTCGAAATTCGTTTTTTTTTTTAAATTTTGAATATCGATCTTCGATCTGGCTCGAAATTCAACTCCAGCTCGAAATTTGGGTTTTGAAAATTTTGAATTTCGATCTTCGAGCTAGCTCGAAATTCAACTACAGCTCGAAATTCGTTTTTTCTTAACTTTGAATATCGATATTCGAGCTGGCTCGAAATTCAACTCCAGCTCGAAATTCGGGTTTTGAAAATTTTGAATTTCGATCCTCGAGCTGACTCGAAACTCACTTCCAGCTCAAAATTCGGGTTTTGAAAATTTTGAATATTGATCTTCGAGCTGGCTCGAAATTCAACTCCAGCTCGAAATTCGGGTTTAGAAAATTTTGAATTTCGATCTTCGAGCTGGCTCGAAATTCAACTCCAGCTCGAAATTCGGGTTTGAAAATTTTGAATTTCGATCTTCGAGCTGACTCGAAATTCAACTCCAGCTCGAAATTCGGCTTTTGAAAATTTTGAATTTCGATCTTCGAGCTGGATCGAAATTCAACTCCATCTCGAAATTCAGCTTTTGAAAATTTTGAATTCCGATCTTCGAGCTGGCTCGAAATTCAACTCAAGCTCGAAATTCAGCTCTGGTTTACTTTGAATTTCGATCTTCGAACCAGCCCGAAGTTCCTAGCTAGCTCGATATTCGCTATAAACTGAATTTCGATCTTCGATCTTCGATGTCAATGCTAACTTCTAGATACTGTAACTGTGGTGATATTCATCATAAAGCAAGTAGCATAATATTTTATAAAGCATTTAAAAAAATCAGCACTTGTTGTCAGACTTTTTCGTAGTAAACATGGGGTCATATGAAAATTTGTTTGAAAATGAAGATGCCATAAATCAGTATGCCGTTAAGTGTTTCTTGTTTTCCCTTTCCAGACAAGCCAATACCAAAATACCTTGCTAATTCTGAATGTTTCGGATGTCTTGAAAACGAGGTAATTTGCTCATTTAAATACAAATTTACATAACTGTTTGTAAGAAGTACAATATTGTTAATGTACAATTGAGCCGACAGATATAGAATAAAATTAATTGAAATAAAATAAATAATTTACGTAACTCATCTTGCAGTATTGACCTATTTTAATTAATAGATTTTTCGGCTTTATTCATTATTTTTTTCCAGGTTTGGTGCATATTGATGAATGCTTCTTTGTGCATGGAAAAGGTTAAGTGCATCGGTAAGTTTGTCGTATTAAATTGATGTATCGAGAGCAGAGTAAAACAAAACGTAAGTTTCTTGTTATAAGAATGTTAAACAAAAATACCAGTATGGTTATATTAGTACATGTATTTGAAAAAGTGGACCGTTATGAATATACACTAGTAGTCTATGCAAATAGTATTGCGTGCGCATGTAAGTAAGTGTTCGGTATAAGTATGTTTGCAAAGTGTATTGGTATGAGTATGTTTGCAAAGTGTATTGATATTACTATATTGGAAAACGTGTTTTGATATAAATATGTTGGCTAAGTATATTGGTATTATTATTATGCCAGCATAGAATATTGGTATGATTATGTTGGCAGATGGTTTGGTATGTGTATGTTTGCCAAGTGAATATGAATGAAAATTTCTGCAAAGTGCATTGGTATGACTATGGTTGCAAATTGATTGGTATGGTTAGGCTGACAATTTGTTTTGTTATTAGTATGTTGACAAAGTGCATTGGTATGTGTATGCTGGCAATATATATTGGTATGATTATGCTGGCAAAGTGTATTGGTATGATTATGTTTGCAAAGTGTTTTGGTATGATTATATTTTCAAAGTGTATAGATATAAGTAGGTTTGCAAAATGTATTGGTATAAATATGTTTGCAAAGTGTTTTAAGTATGATTATGATGGAAATATGTATTGATACTATTATGCTGGAAAAGTTTATTGATGTGAGAATGTTTGCAACGTGTATTGGCATGAGTATGTTTGCAAAGTGTATTGATATGACTATGTTTGCAAAGTGTATTGGTATGAGAATGTTTGCAACGTGTATTGGCATGATTATATTTGCAAAGTGTATTGATATGACTATGTTTGCAAAGTGAATTGGTATGAGTATGTTTGCATTGTGTATTGATATGAATATGTTTGCAAAGGGTATTGATATGATTATATTGGCAAAGAGTATTGATTTAAGTATGTTTGCAAAGCGTAGTGATATGAATATGTTTGCAAAATGCATCGATATGAGTATGTTTGCAAAGTATATTGGTATGAGTATGTTTGCAAAGGGTATTGGTATGAATATGTTTGCAAAGGGTATTGATATGAGTATGTTTGCAAAGGGTATTGAGTATGTTTGCAAAGAGTATTGGTATGAGTAAGTTTGCAAAGGGTATTGAGTATGTTTGCAAAGAGTATTGGTATGAGTAAGTTTGCAAAGTGTATTGGTATGACTATGTTTGCAAAGAGTATTGAGTATGTTTCCGAAAGGTATTGGTATGAGTATGTTTTCAAAGTGTATTGGTATGAGTATGTTTGCAAAAGGTATTGAGTATGTTTGTAAAGGGTATTGATATGAGTATGTTTTAAAAAGTGTATTGATATGAGTATGTTTGCAAAGTGTATTGGCATGAATATGTTTGCAAAGTGCATTGATATGACAATGTTTGCAAAGTGTATTGGTATGATTATGTTTGCAACGTGTATTGGCATGATTATATTTGCAAAGTGTATTGATATGATTATATTTGCAAAGAGTATTGATATGAGTATGTTTGCAAAGTGTATTGGTATGAGTATGTTTGCAAAATGCATTGATATGAAAATTTTTGCAAAATGCATCGATATGAGTATGTTTTCAAAGTATATTGATATAAGTATATTTGCAAAATGCATTGATATGAGTATGTTCCCAAAGGGTATTGGTATGAATATGTTTGCAAAATGTATTGGTATGATTATGTTTGCAAAGTGTATTGATATGATTATGTTTGCAAAGGGTATTGAGTATGTTTGCAAAAAGTATTGTTATGACTAAGTTTGCAAAGTCTATTGGTATGACTATGTTTGCAAAGGGTATTGTGTATGTTTCCGAAGGGTATTGGTATGAGTATGTTTGCAAAGGGTATTGATATCAGTATCTTTTCAAAGTGTATTGGTATGAGTATGTTTGCAAAAATTATTGAGTATGTTTGCAAAGGGTATAGGTATGATTATGCTTGAAAAGTCAATTGATATAACTCTGTTTGCAAAGTGTATTAAGTATGTTTGCAAAGTGTATTGATATTGCTATGTTTCCAAAACGTATTAAAAAGATTATATTGGCAAAGTGTATTGGTATGATTATATTGGCTAAGTGTATTGATATGAGTATATTTGCAAAGTGTATTGTGTATGTTTGCAAAGTGTATTGATATTAGTATGTTTGCAGAGGTAATTGGTATGACTATGTTTGCAAAGTGTATTGGTATGATTATATTGGCAAAGGGTATTGCTATGATTATGATATGAGTATGCTTGTAATTGTATGTTTATGATTATGTGCGAAATGGTAATTAGTATGATTATGTAAAGTGTATTGGTATGTTTATGATGGTTAAATCATTAAATGTATTGGTATGAGCATGTTTGCACACTTATTAGAAAGGATACGCTGACATATTATATGAATATTGATATGAGTATACTGGTAAAAGTTAGCTTATTGGAATGAGTATGCTGGCAAAGTAATTTGGTATGAGATTGTTGACCAAGTTTATTTATTGATTTCAGTGAGAAGATTGATCAATATTTTACTTTAAACCTTATGAGTATGTTTGCAAAGTGTATTGGCATGAGTGAGCTTAAATTCACTTTTAAACGTCACGAAAATTCTAAATTTTCTTTTACCCTGGCATGATTATTTGCTGGAAGAAAAAAAATTCGTCTGTCAAAATATGTAGTTTTATTTTTTACAGAGACTCTTATTAAGCTACCAAAGTTTGCAAACGATACTGATTTTGTGCTTATTAGTATTCTTGTGGAAAGTGATACGGCAGACTTTGTCATTGACGAAATATTTAAGGTAGCCATCAAACAACAGCTTGCCGAACAAATTATGTGTCCATCGAATATATTAACAAGGGTAGACATTGTTCACTTAGGTAAGAATTAATACATATTACATTGTTACAATGACGTGCTGTATACTTTTATGTGAATAAACTTTTGTGCTGCTGTGTTCCATTCTGCATAAACTAACGGGACAACTTTATAAATATACACAAACATATTAATAATAGACTTATATCTATACAGCAACATTGACAACGAAGCCGCCCATAAGAGTAATACTCATTTGGAATGGGGCAATATACGGGTATGAGGGTTGTCATAACCATAACTTTTGTTTAGAAATTACGTAACAAGTACAAAAAACGTAATATAAGACAAGTTTTTTTGTTGTTGGACGTCATGTGGTTACTTTCTACAAGGAACGCTTGAAATAAATGAACCTGTAAAGTTGTGGTATTAAAGACTTCCCAACCCTTAAATTTCTCTCAAAATTGTATTTTATGTTGTTTCCCCGTAATGGCGTACATAATATTATTTTAGAAATCATTGCAAGAACGTTAAAGGATAACTTTAAAAGTTCACTGCCTAATTAATACTTCTGCGGATGTAACTTTATTCTGAATTACCTCTGCCTTCCCTATGTCGTCAATAAACAGTCAAAATGAGTCTTGTACTTTTTCAATTTTGAGTTATTCGAGATTTTTAATTTCTTATATATCTTATTTGAACTGTAAAAGTGTCTTGCCAAATTACATATGAAATTATGAATTATCGATCTATAGAAATCCTTATGAACGCCATACTTCTTATGCTTTTTCTTCTTCTCTTTTTTATCCACGGCTAATTCCTCTATGTTTGTTTTTAATAACTCTAACGATAATATTATGGTGGTATCTGTTTTGTTGAAATTTATCTAAAATTTTAACACATGCCTGTGATGTTTGGACTTCATAACATCTGATCGTGGGTTAGAAAGTCACTCATGATATTCGTCTTTTAGGAATTCTCATTCTTTAATATTGATGTTTCTTGATTGTTATGTAACCGTGTTATGATTTTTTTATACGAATAGATAATTGATTAAATGATTTTAAAGCCGGTACTATGATAGAATTTGCTTCTTCTCTGGCTTCATCTCTTATATTCAGCGACGAATAACTGTGTCTCAAAGAAATGAATGACCTCTCCTTGAATACTTGAAATGACATATTTTAGCAAATTGTAATTACTTCATCCGATTGAACCCCTTAATAATATCAAAGCCCACCTTCATTCTGTATACAACATGCCATGATTAAGGTCAACAATTTCATAAAAAAATAAAGAATGAAAGGTACATAATTAATCAAATTTTCTTTACATGTTTTGTGCATTTAATTTGTTACCGGTTGTTTTGTCATTTTTGTTCTTTATTTCCATGGCAACTAGAACAGTTACAATATGAAATAGGATTGCAGATCAACAATCAAAATAACCTAACCGAACTTAAAGAGTTCACCATGAAACTGTACAAGCTCACTGATACTGGAATTCTCAAATTTGTTACTCAGAATGTGATACTCACTTCAGTACAGGACAGTTTTTTGTATCAACAGCGGATATATGGCTACACAAAGGAAGCAGACAAGCAGACAGCATCGTCAGTAGGGACTGTAATCATCGTCGGGGTTATTCTGCTGTTAGTTTTCATCGCCCTCTGTTTGACCTTGTCTCTGTCGTTGCGTGCTAGGATAACTTCTAGTAAGTTAGCACATACCTAAGCAAATGTATCTTATAAAAGACCATCAGCACGAGGAAACAATTCAATTATCTAGCTCTTAAAAATAGTAAAACAGACTACAGACACCTGTTTATAAACATCCATTTATATTATATTTATATTAAATTCTCAAGTACGCTATTCATTGTACATATCGCGACATTTCGTTTTTAATCAATAATCAAGCATCCTCATACCTATCGGAAAGATCGTCTTTTATTATGACCGACTAAAGGGCTCGAGAAGTTGCTGTCGCCCTTTTACAAAATCTGATTTCATTCCATAAAGGGCGCCGCGCTTCAGTGCGGACGCCTAAAAAACGTCAACTACAATGTTAACATTTGCTGACGTCAGTTTAAAAAAGCTAATTCTAACACGACCCGCATTTTTCCCTGTTGAACATAGAAGAACCGAAAGTGTGTATTATTATGCAACAAAATCACTGGTGACGTTCTATATTTAGACTTGTGACGTAATCGTTTTATACATGTGACGAAACTATTAAAAATGCGAGGCGCTGTTAATATGTACGGAAACAAATCAGGTGCAATTTAGCTTATTATAAGGTACGACAAGATTTATTGTTAATGTCGTGTTAGAATCGAAATAATATATCCAAATCGGTGATTTAATCGCATGATAACATCACTGTTTGTCGTTCGGATGCGCATCGTTATATCACTCGGGCTACGCCCTCGTGATATACTTCCTCGCATCCGAACTCCAAACAGTGATGTTATTGAGCGATAAAATCACTGTTTGGGATATATTATTTCTTAAATTAAGGATTGTCTTCTCACGGCGATGGGCAATTATTAATTAATTATTAATACATTTATTTATCTTTGATTTATACGTACAAGGAAAACCTTATCAAAAGTAGTTAACAAATATTTTAAACATATTTAATATCACAAATTAACAAGTTATATTTTCCAGGTCTTCCTTAATAAACTTTCAAACGATAAGATGATTATCAGCGTTTTATTTTATTCCAGGAAGACATGTACATGGGTATAAAATAACTCAAAAGAAGCAAATATAGAGGATGTGATAATAGAAACATTTTGTTTTTATTCAAATAACGATAACTGCTGGATCATCCCTCTTATAATGAACTTATTCTGACAGTCTCAACGATTTTGATTTTCTTTTATTGAACATATAGATGTGTATTCTTCAATGACTAAAAATATAAAACATAACAAAAGTGGAGTGTTTCTTTCTCTTTGCTATGTATGCGGGTTAAGTGAATAAATGCTTGGGACAAAGCTAAACAATAACTCTAATAAAGACAAAAAAAAATTCAAACTGAACGATAATGGCATTCAATTTCATGAAAACGACAAAACCGGTGTTTAATATATGTGAACGATATTGCTGAATAAGTGTAACAAGACTTTTTGCTGACGATAGCTCTTTATTCGTTTCCTCTAACGATCTAAATTACATTGAAAGTACTCTTAACTCCGACCTTGAGAAATAAATTGTCTAAACAATGGTTGGTTATTTTTAATCCAAATAAAACAGCAGTTATGTTTTTCTCCCAAAATCATTGAATCAAACCTTCGTTATTTTTTTATAATATCTCTCAAGATTTCGTTGATAATCACAAACATTTAGGATTAACTCTTTCTTGCGACTTGAAATTGCACGAATATATTAATAATATTTCAGCTTCTGCGTCAGGAGTATTAGGCTCTACACCGCACCGCACTTTGGGGTAAAACGCAATTTGGGGTCCAACCCCAAAGTGCGTTCAGTACTTTGGGGTCCGACCCCATAGTGTGTTACGCTCTTTGGGGTCCAATTTCGACCCCAAAGTGCGTTAAACAGGTACATATGCATTTTTTAACATCAGGCAAACGACCGCACTTTGGGGTTATAGAAATTTATGTTCATTATATCTTAAATAATATATTGTAGTCAAAGCCAATGGTAAACAAAAAATCAAGGTATTAAATAGATACAAACATGTGCCCTGAATTTTAGTAGAATCAATAGGGATTTAAATGGTCTTGATTAGTAGGTGAAATTTTCCATTTATTTTAAAAGAATGTACACTTTTCATTTACTCCATTGTTTTTAGCTAAATGTATTATTTTCCCGTATTTTATTTACACATTTTATAGAAATATGATAGTCTTAGCATAGACAAAGGTATAAATTCTGGAAGTTTTAGTAAGACATTTCAGTAAAAAATGTGCCTGATAATATGTTGAAAGAGCCATTTATTTAGCTAAATGTGACATATAAGAAACTTGACTAGGACTGTGTAGATGCGGCTTTAAGTAGTAGGCCGTACAGGCAGTACTAAAAATATCAACTATTAAAATAGTCGCACATTAAGAGCGGAGCTGCAGAATAATGTAAAATTCTCACTGGGGGTATAGAGGGGATTGTGGGGAATCTATCCCCCCGAGGGTTAAACATAACGTTTTAAAGGCCCATTATACTTTTATTTGTTTTCTCAAAAGCTTTTTATTTTGATGTTCTTCTATATTATCAAAAAAAAACAACAACAACACATTGCCATCTTTTACATCTGTTGCTTTTTGGCAATGAGTACAGTTATAGTGAATTAGTATTTTACATGGAAGTCAAATACTACAGTGTTTTGACTTGTTTTATGATGTTTGCTCTTTCTAAAGAAGTATATTAGATTTTCCATAAAAGAAAGTTTGTTGATAAGCTTAATAATGTATTTGTAAAAATCACTATTTATAATCCGACCAAAAAACTTGATGTTTCACCAGAACATTGCAATAGAGTATATTTATAGTTCTTTGGAAAAAGATATAAACTGCATTTTATTTCATTGCAAAGTTATCAAGTATATGACCGACAGAACGGGATATTTTTCGCAGCATCTTTTAATTCTAGGAATACAATTTCTGTACTAGAGTATTTTGAACGGTGGCATAAAGGGACATTTGTATTTTTTTCATACTTCTTTTTTGTTTTTCGTACATATTTTTTATTTGTTTGTCGTACATATATTTTTTAGTTTTGAATACATACTTTTTTTAGTTTTGCATACATATTCATTTTTAGTTTGCATACATATTTTATTTAAGATTTGCATACATATTCTTTTTTATTTTGCATACATATTTTATTTTAGTTTTTTTGTACATATTTTATTTTTATTTTTTCGTACATATTTTTACATGACGCCATTTGCAAAGTAGAGGTTTGGATAATTACACCATTTGTAAAACACCATCTTTAAACACTTCGCCATCTGTAGATAACAGTACCCCATTTGCAAATGCCAACATTTTCATTTTTGGAGGTATCAAAAAATAACAACACTTTTTAGTATATATTTATAGTATCGGCGGTAACCCAAAGAAAGGTTCTGCATATGGTTTCGATGCGGTTAACATTTGTCACAAGGTGCCTTAAAATCCTTCATGGGTTTCGGAGATAAGGAGCGGATATGAAACCAAAGTCTTTATCCTTTGACCTGTAGGTGTGACCCCGACCTTGAGCCGGCACACCTGGCATATACGTTCTGCATATTATCTGGATGTGCTAAAGAATTCATAATTCTCAATTCTCAGGGGATGGGGTTGAGTTGTGCATATTCATGGAATAATAACTGATCACCATTCAACAGCCCTTTCCAAATAGACATTAATGTAATAGTATATAATAATAAAAAACAATAATTATATAAAATACAGAGACTGGGCCGATTCCTAAAATGGGCCAGAATGGGACCAAACCACTGTGCTAGTTTTATACTCAACTATGGGCTGTTATGAGATTTGAAGGCTGTTTTGATTGGCTAAAATATGTATTAAAAACAAAAATAAAATATGTATAGAAAAACGAAAAACAAAATAATGCAAATGTCACTTTTATGCCACCGTAATTTTGTTATATGAACACAATTTTTAGATATTTCAAGTGGTAAAATTAATGAAACTTTTATCACTTTAGCATCATAAAGTATTGACCGCCATCTTGAACCTCCACCTGAAATATTCCAATGTCGCAGATAGAAAATAAGTCACGACTCAGTATTTAAGCAGAACTCAGATGACACCTTTAGACCTCTTGAACCCAAAGTGCGTTGATATGTAGCATATTAACGCACTTTGGGGTCAATTTCTCGATTTTGACCCCAAAGTGCGTTGGACCCCAAAGTGCGGTGCGAAGTTTAACGCACTTTTGGGTCAAACCCCAGAGTGCGTTTGACCCCAAAGTTCGGTGTTACAAGGCTCTATGCTTGCTTTAAAATTCCAACTCAAAAGATCTATTTTAAACCAGATTTATATATCTTATATGCGTCCGATACTTGAGTATGCATATCAATAGTTTGGGATGGGTTTGCTGAATATGAAAAACAATCACTTGAGCAATACAATTCGAAACCGCTAGAATTATTACGGGTGCAACTCGGTCAGTATCGATAGATTGCTTGGTCAAAGAAGTCGGGTGGGTCTCACTCTCTGATAGGCGAAAAATTCAAAAACTTGTAATTGTTTATAAAGCTATAAACGGTTTACTACCGGACTATTTTTTCCGCCTACTGTTTCAGAAACTACTTTTTATCCTTTGCGAAAAAAACAGCAACTATGTAATTATAGCTAGACGCACGTTTTTACCATCCTCAATAACCTCGACCCCAATATACGAAACTCTCAGACACTCAATTTATTTAAATCTAGACTAAAAAATATATATTTAAAGCACTAACGGTTCCGAAGCATTATTTTTATACTTATCAATAATACATACGCGTTTAAGAAATAAATGTAGTAATTAAAATAACGATTTATATAATAACCATTTGCGCGAAGACCCTTTTTCGGTCGTGAAAATTTAGAATACGAAGGTAACGTTGACATTTTTGAATCAGTTCAAACATTTATCAAGACTACCCATCGTTTTGATAATATTTGATTTTCATTTTGTTTTTTTCTAAAATGTGTTATTCATATTTTAATCTAACTTACTTAAATAACAAATATTTATTACCAATCTATCTCCAAAAAACTTCAACTATTTTAACAACTACAGTGAGATCGAGATGGCAACCTGTGGATGGATCGCACTTCAAAATCAAAATTGTACATTAAATTTTATGAACTGTTCCAAAATGAAATACATATTTTAAAGTTTATATGCATGTTAAAAGTAATTATTGTGACCTTAAAGTATTTTCTTCTGTGATATTAATTTCTGGAAAGGACATAATCTAATGTTGTAAGAACTTGTTGCCCAACCCATTTGCATTTTGGTATATACTCATTATTTGTATGATATGTTTGTACACATGTAATTAATGCAATAAAATAAGTTTAAGCTAAAAGTTTAGATATTATGTAAGAAAAAAATGAATACGCCGTAAATTGCATAGTTTGTAAATGAAATTAGAGCCTTCTCGGGATTTTGTTTGTTTGTTTAATTCTCTCTGTCTTTGTTTGTTTACAACCCAGTTGAGTAATTGAATGGCTATTTGTGTTAAAAATCGGCGGCGTTTATGGTCGCGTTCAGCTTTATTTTTTTACAGAATCTTTGTTTAGAAACAAAAACTTGCACAATACGCTAGATGACACAGACGAATTGATATTTTGATGTATTTAGCGAGGAATATTTACACAAAAGTATAACTGACATGAAGATTAACAAAATAAGGTAGGGATATTCCTACGTCATCAGTTAAAATGGCGGCGGAAATTACCGATCGCGTTACAGAAAAATCTGTTTAAATCATGTTTTTTGTGTTTATTTTTTTTATCTTAAAACACCTTTTTATTGTGTTTATTGTAACCTACGTATCGAAATGAATATAAAACAGAAAAGCATGCCTATCTTTAACCACATACCTTTAAGCACTCAAGTGTGACCTTGACATTTAAGGGTGGAGTCTAGCTGTTACATTTGACACATTTTCCCATTATCGTCAACAATTGTGCAAGTAATTTCAAAATCCCTTGAACAAGAAAAAATATGGACTGCCCTATAAAAGATCACGTTAAGCTTTGACCTCTAAGAGTGGCCTTGATCTTAGAGATAAGGGTCCGGGTGTTGTGCATAACACATAAACTTATTCTTGTCATCATTTGTGCCAAGTAATTTCAAAAATCCCTTGATAGATGAAAAGTTATGGACCGGGCTCCACAAATACTCTCGAACAGACGATTTTGACCTTTTATCACAAAGTGTGATCCTGATCTTGAAGGTAGGTGTCTGGATGATGCGCATGACGCATCATCTTCTTTCTGTGAACATTTGTGCCAAATATTTTCAAAATTCCTTGATGGATAAGAAAGTTATGGACTGGAAACAAATTATACCCTATAACAGACTATGTTAATGAAATATGACAGTGAAGAAACAATGATGCTGTTTTTGTACCAACACAGAAAATTGGTTCCGTAGTTCAAAATAAAAATATACCAGATACCTGAGTATCAATGCCAGACTTCATTTTCATGTGAGCTACACACATGCCAAGTTAAATATCAATGGTCAAATTTGTTATGTAGAAGCTGTAAATTTTTTGCAAACAAGTGACCTTAACCTTGCTCCCAAATATCTAAGAAACAATCCCAAGCTGCATCTCAATACAAGCTGCCAACACATCAAGTTTGGTGTCAACAGGTCACAGCAAACCAACGTTATTACGCGGAAACTGAATTTCTTTTCTGTACGAAATCTGC